ATGCACCAATCACAATACAAGAAGCTAAAGATAAGGGTTATTCATTTGTAATAACTTCACAAGAAAAAACAAATTACAAAACAACTAGTTTTATTGTTTTACCACCACAAATTTTGGGGATAAAGATTTTTTTACGAACAAAAACTTGTTTACAAAAATAATAATATAAATTTTTTTATTAAAGAATCAATTAGAGATACTATTCATACTACAGTTACATTTACACCTGATTAAATTTTTCCTTAAAAAAATAATATTTCTTAATTTAGAAAAATTAAATACATGATAACGATTAAAAATTCTATTTTTTTTATTACTAATTTTTTTCTGTTAGAATTTAAAAAGCTAAAAATTTTCAAAACAAGAATCGAGGAAAACTCACATGGAGAACTAGCTTAAATAAACATATTTACAAATTAGTATATTTTTATTTTTTTGTCATCATATTTTTCAATTTCTTTAGCTTTTCGTTTTTTTGATGATTCAGCAATTGGATTTTCATAATCAGATAAACTATTATCTTTAATATTTTGTTGACTTTTTTCTTCTAATTCTTCTCGATATTCAAAAAGTTCCTTACAATTTGGATAATCCCTCAAATAATTTTTCTTAAATTCTGAAAAATTTTTACGCCAATAAACTTTTTTGTTATCAATTATGTGTTCACCATTATCTCCATTTATTTTTTTGCTTTTTTCTATCAATTCTTGTATTGTATTTTCCCCGTTACGATATTTCACATCCCACTCAAAATTACAAAACTTTTCTTCATCACCTTTATGAAATATAATTTCTGTTGTACGTTTTTCAATATCATCATCCCATTTGCCAGTAAACTCAATAATATAATCTAAACGTTGTTCAAACTGCCCCTGTAATTTTTAACAATATATTTCTTAATTAAAATATTTTTTTAAAGATCTATTTTATTAACTTTATTAAAAAAAATTTACCAATCACGCTGTGTTAATTTTTCATCATTTTGTGTTCTACCAAAATTATAAGCTTCTTCTGGAGATTTTCTTGTAGTTAAAAATATATATTTTGCTAAAAAAGGTTCGAATCCTTTTGATTTTATTTCTACAGAATATAGTGTATCGTTAAAAAGATTTACTATATCATTCCAATCGATTTTCATGTAAAATTCATCTAAAAGAACCATTTCTTGTCCACAATACCTATTCCACCAATTATTTCGTTGTTTTTTGGATTTTTCAAATAATTGATCTTTAAATAATTCGGTTACAAGTCCTGATTTTCCACTTCCTCCTGGACCAAAAAGATAAAAAGTAACAGGATGCCAAAATCGACTAACTTTTTCTTTTTGTTTTTCTTTTTGTAAATCGTTATAAATTCTTATCATCGTCTCATAACTTTTACAATATGGAATTTTATTTTTATTTTCTCTAAATATTTCAAGTGGTGTTTTTCCTTCTTCTAACATTTTATTACTGTCTAAACCTCCTTGATGTTCTTTAAGCTTTAGTTCTTTTATATCTGTTTTTTCTCTATAAGCTTTAGTAAAACTTTTTTTAATTTCTCTGAATTCTCCAA